GGCTAGTATTAATGTAATTCCACCTTGTATCACCATGAGGAGAAGCTCCCTCTACGAAAAGAAATATACGTCCGCATATCTGATATAAAAAAGAAGAAAACGTTAACATCTTTAAACCATCTACAGCTAGTCCGAGATTTTTCGATTAAATGTCATAATGACAAGATGGCGAAAAGCATAACGTTATTGAGTTGTTTATTCACACTAACAGTCCATGTTTGTTTATATCAACAGGGTCTGTTATTATTTTCAACAAAAACAGACCATATTTTTTTGTTTTTAATAATTTCGCGTAGCGTTGGTTTGCTACTGTTTGTCGTAGGTCACAAACTCTATTTTGTCATCTGGCTACTCGAGCTGGGATAATTATAGAAATCTATCTACAGAAAGACTCGGTTTGTTTAGTATTGATATTCTGTTATGATCAAAATAGCGTTGATAATATGACGCACATCTACATCGGTATTCCGCAGACGTTACCTCTACGTAGTAAGACACGAATTATGTTTTTTGCTTCGAGACTGATGACGCAGCTAGAATCTGAGAGCACACTCGGTCCGGATCACGACTTTGTGTAACAAACAACTCTTCGGGTAAACTTTTAAGATTAAAATCTGCTAACTAGAAATATATGATGTTATTAACAAATATTAATTTTCTAATATTAAGGTTAGAAAAAACGGTCCAGCCGAGTAACCGCGCCACATCTGGTCTCCAGCCGAATTGACTATTCTTAGCTCTGTTCAAAGTGCGCAAATGTGTCTCTTATCAAAGCTCCGATAACGTTGATTATTGGCGTCTGATTATGATTACGTGTAGCGTTTCTGAATGTATTGGAGGGAAATAGCGAAGTAACTATTGAATGTATGACCCATGTTACTGGTAAAGTTGCCTTCTTATAACACTTCGGAAACAGATGGCGATCCAGCCAGCGAATCTTCAGACCTAGAAAAGTCTGATAATACTTTAAATAGAATTATAGCTCATGAAGCTGCGAGTGCAGGGTAAAGATATGTCAGGCTAATTACTCTGTGTACCTGAAATAATGCTTTTATCACTCGAGTTAAAATTCCCATAGTAATGTAGTAAGCCAATATAATATTCTACGCTGCATTTTGTAAGTGAGGACGAGCCCAGTCGATACAAAAGTGCGACTAGATCAGTTGTATTTGATTCCAGAAAAAAAAAAACAATCGTAAACCTCAAATTTTACACGTGGAAAAACCAAATAACGAAATGTAGCATTTAAAGCTTCTAAAACAGTTCATATCTAACTAGATGGGACGACAAACATCTTCGGGATATGTTTTCAGATAAACAATGCCTTCTAGTGCACTTTCGTACCCTGAAGCAGCAACCACCGCACAGCCCCGACACTCATACACACATGGTTAAGTATTTGTACGTATGAAGTATGATATATATATATATATATATATACTCTACAGGACAAGCACGTGCGATGCAATGGGACCTATTCCGTACATCCAACGTGGCTTCTCCCCCATCCTGTGGACGTGTCTGGGGGCACCGTGTAGGTGCTATGCTCATCGACAGCAGTATTCGTTACGATAATCCGTTGTCCACCACGAATTCTCTACTGAGAACGGATGAATAAGACTAGTACGGTCCTACACTCTGAGTGGAAGACCACCAGTCGTCATTCTTTGCGTTCTTGTCTACTTTTTTCCAAAGTACGAAAAAACAGGCGGGGCACTTTTTCTGGGCACTCATCGGATCGACGCCTTTTGCTCTAAACCCAAAGACCTATTCCTATTCAGCAGCCGCCGCAGTCTAGCCAAACCCGATACACAGTCGAAGATTATGACCAACGACCCATTTCTTAATTGGCGTCGTTGGCGACCGCGAACAATCTCTCCGTTCCTACAGTTTCCGTACGGCCTTATTTGCCACTCTATTAGCTGCATTTCTTTTATCTTCGCTCATTTTAGGCAACCCTACTGCCTGCTGCTTCTACCACTGCGACTCAGCGAAATGATTTAGGACGATTTGTTAATGTCCGATAGATGAAAGCTGTTCATCTAACTTCTCGTCGTAAGGCAACAAATGCCTACTCGAAGTTAATATATAATCCTCTAATAACAATTTACCATAGCAGTTTCTCTATTCACGACCATTCTACTTTTTTTCACCAAACTGTACGTACTTAAATCGGCAATCGAAGAAGACAATAAATGGCGATTGGTACAGATGTTACTATAATTCTTCGACCTATTTAAATATACCGATCGACTTTTAAACATTTAATAAGGATTATCTACCATATACGTCTAGCTGAATAGAAACTATCTCAAAGAAGCTACTTCCAGAATTATCAACAACTCTATTATATCTCGCAATGGACAAAACAGTGATAACAACAGTAGCAATACCTAGCGTATTTTTTGTTGTAACTTTCGGATTTAACGTTAAGTTGAATTAAGAAGATGTTGAAAAACAGTAGCTACACTTTCTTCTTCTTCTTCTTCTTCTATAGTGACACTTATCTTGTAACGTAATGCCGATAACTTTTGACCGATTTGCAATCAGTTGCCGATATTAACAATAACAGCACCCGAATCTGGTCTCGATCAAACGCAGATTCTTTCGGCGTCTGTTACTTTCGTTTGTATCGCCATTCCACACGTTCTTCGGGGATATCAGGTTATCTTCGATATCCCGAACACCATTACAAGCTTAGTAGAAATATTCACACTACTACATCTGTAACGAGATAGTAAAACTTTAATGATAGAATTAGATAGAGTTTATCTTAGGCGTTACGACCTGTCCACACGCTTGAAACGTACTTTGTCATTTTTAGAGAAGTTTAGATACCTTTAACTTAATTCCGATACAAGTATGTCTGCGAGTTCGTCAACAGTGATTCACCGTGAGTTAACTAGATGACCAACTGAGTTCGCAGTATCCAGCACAATTAATCTGCATCTAAATAGGTACGTGCGCTCTAACCAGTCAACGACTATTTTCATATTTCTCACACGAAAAGACGCATCGCGATTACGCGGCGGACCAATGTAATTGAAGCTCAAAAAGCGTATCATTACGGACCAGATGGGGTTTTTCAGCGTCAATGACTATTAAACCACCAATGGCTCCATTTTGAGTACATTGGATTGTTAAAAAATTGATCGTCCTAACACCGAAAGAAAAGCTAATATTTTTTTATTTTTAAAAAAAATATAAAATATATTCCTATTGAAGTCGAACTGTCATTATTAAGGGAGCTCTGCAGAGACCGAAACAGTTCACAGTCTGATGGTGCAAGATTCGGGCTTCATGACAGATGCATTGAAGTGCCCCATCTAATTTCTCTTAGTTTTTGCCGAATAGTTAGGCGATGTATGTGGTCTGGCCACTGTCATGATGTAAAATGACGTTTTTCCTGTTTACTAGGTCTTGTCGATTCTTTAATAGGCTTGTTGGTGTCTTAGCAGTTCCCAGCAATAGAAGTCCGAATCAAGCGTTCCACAATGTACGATCCCTTTCGTATCCCACCAAACACCATCTTTGATGTCGGACTAGGTTGTGCCACAAATTGTACGGCCTATTTTGCTTATTTCTTTTTCTGCACATCATTGTCGTTTACTCAAGGTTAAAAAACGCTCGGCATCATTTTTCTTCTATAGAGTTTCTCAGATGGAAATACGAACGAGTATTTAAATGGTACGCCAATATTTTGCAGCTAGATTTCTAAAGTTCTGTTTATCGTAGTTAGCCACTTAACTATCAGTCTTGCTCAACTTTCGCAATAATTTCATCGGCTCTTTTCGTAACTGGCCGATAACTGTCAGCAGCATCTTTCACGTTGAAATTCCCACCTTTAGACCTTTTCTTTTGACAAAGCACCTTATCCTTAAAAGGCGCAATTTTGTTTACGGGCCTGGGCTATATTCCTGTCTGTGTGTTATAGAACTGTAAAATATAGTGAATTTTTCGTAGAAATTTCATTCATTTTCAAGACCATCCTGTTTCGCAAATAATACAAATACAATAAGACAGATCAGACACTCAGTGATCGAAGAGAGAGAATAGAATCAAAAGCACATCTTCATAGTTTACAATTGCTTGACCGCATAATATGCTTTACGTCTTTCTACCGTATTGTCAATAGTTTTAGTTTTACTTCAGATTCTATACAAAAGCAAAAGATGTCTCTTTTCGTTGTTTAGGCATGATGTACCATGGTGTAGCGTGGCCAGACTCAAACCAAGGGTACTCGGCTTGACAGCGTAACGCTCCGCTGCTAAGATCGCCAAAAGCACCATGACGAAACCTGCACAGCGCCATATACGACGCTTTGGTTATGCATTTTATCTGCAGAAGCTAATTGATGTCGTTATGAGCAGTTCATTGCAAGAATTCATGAATAATTACTGTGCTCTCTAACGAAAAAAAAAAAAAAAGGTTTTCTCTAATAGCAACCAACGGCAACCCTGTGATGGTTTTCATTTCACTTGAAAAGTAAACTCCAACACAGATAGTTTTCATCAAGCTTAGTTTGCGGATAATACTGAGTGTCGATCTTTTCGATTGGCTCACAAAGACTCGGGTGTTCAGTCAAAATTCAGTGCAAAATTATACATCTTTCACATTTAAATCGTCATAAAGTATGTCCTAGAAATTCCCATGGCGTTTTGCCAATGAGTATGTAGTTTTCTCAATATTTTGGTGCAATTTTATTAAAGAAATAGAGCTGAATGGGCTCCTTGGTTGACTATACCCGAAGCAACCCTACACACTTGAAAGGAAGCGACAAAAAGTCCATTATAAATACAAGAGATTGACTAAAAACGAACTGGCATTGCATGAGGGCATCATTTTTAGGTGTCCCACCCAATTCAGTAAACATAATCCATCTCAAAATACTCCCTACAGTATAAAAACAGAAAGCTCGAGTTCAGGCGTAGTCTTGGCGCAACTGAATATTGAGAGCGCCCAGATCAGGCAACCGCATCTAATTGTTTTATTATCTCCAAGAAAGAATTGTATAAAATCGAATTGTTTGAGTAGTCCGAAATAAGGAGAAGCTGAACGACCATTTACGAATATAACACAGTTGAAATGAATTTGTTCCATTGATAGTACTCGTTTTTTTTTTTGTCAGTCACGCTTAAATTTCAACCCCATTCGAATAGGTAATACCGATCTTAGGAAATTTTACCTCATCAACTAAAGAATGGTGTTTTTATTCTCAAAAGCTATAAGATAAAAACGACGATACGACGCTTATTAACCAACATTTCGTCTAGTACCGTAGATTTATTTAAATTATTAACAGTCTACATATCAGCTTTGTCTTCTTCACTGCATTGCGCGTTTCAGTATATGTCTATTTTATCATTCATCGTGCTATATCACATATCGTTGTTCCTAGCAATCATTATCAATACTTTGTGTTATTTATAATTGCCTGTTATATATACATCTATGTTGTCCGATCACATCAAACGAGGAGTGGCCGCTAGTTCATGTAGGCCGTTTTATATGAGTCTCTCTCCGTCTACCTAGTTGTACATAGAAACAGATAATTCTAGATAAACATACCTGTTTTTTTTCCGATTGTCAATATCACATATGTGACGTCACGTATAACGTGATCATTTGGTGCACGGGTTTTGGAATTGACGTATAAGCTACGTAAATTACTTAGACTGTTCAGTACTACCAGTGCTAGAGGAATATTTGAAATGGTCGTTTGTATGTAAGTTCGTTATAAGTGGGATCGGATAACTTTAAAATGGCCAGAATATAGCTACAACACCAGTGCGATAGAATATGTCTTGTCTCCCTAAAGGTCACATTTCGTAATGGACGATCGTTTCCCTATTGCATTCTAGACCACTGGGCTAAAACGTCTATCTTCTTCCATTAGCGACGAATACTAATGCATGCTGTCCGGTCGTATATTTCAACGACAGTAGAATCCGACCAAAAACTAATTACAGAACACTGTTTATTGTAAGAGTTATGCCGTTTTGTTGATGATATCAAGCTCCGAACACCGTAATTTTCCAGCCTCAAACCTCAGTCAGAGATACCCGCCGATATCTCATCGACGTCGCTCGAAATCTCCCTTGGGTGCTTTTCACGTCTATTAACGCTGTCTCGCTTCCTTCCGTATGTTCTTGGGCACTGTTTGATCCCTTGGCAAAATGGGGTCTGATAGAAGCATGCAGATAGATTGACTGAGCTTTTTAATTTTCTGAAAACCGATTGGACACGAATAAAGAAAAGACGAGTATAGTTAAAATGTGATCAACGTATTTGTCTTTACATGTCAAAGACATGTACTATCTATTATGTGAAAACTACGACACATATAGAAGTATCCTATATTATGAGAGCGTCGTATTGTTCACTACGCTTCCAGTAGTCTCCGGGAACCCAAATCCGTTCTCTGTTATCTATTGGCATACATATATATACTTTGCTTTGTGACTATTCTATTGCAAATAGTTGTTAGTTAACTGATTGACCTTATCGCTTATCGGACAACAAGTCGATAAGAATTCCCTATAAATACAGAAACTATTCGAATCGAAAGCGATAACAATTATTACTGTGTGTGTTCAAAAAGGAAATCGCCTAATTGCGACCAGCTACGCATCTCATCACCCTTCCTAGTAATTCCCACCTAGTAACCTATTTACCGTCACTATCCTAATAGACGTTATATAAGTTTACCAGTTAGTTTAAAAATAACGTCCGCGCCAAGGCTTATCATATTAGTCAAGTGGGCATTTCGTTCATCGAAGTCACCCAACATCCACAAAAACGCTAGGGGTCTGGATGGGTCTGGGGGGAAGTGGATAAGGATAAGGCCTTGCAGCCATTATTAAACGTCCTTCTCATTACCAGTGCCGCTTTGCCTGCCCGCTAACAGCACGTGCAGCAAAATCCAATTGGGCATCTAAACAATACATAGAACCATAATATCGTCCAAGACAAATACGCTGGACAGACCTCGCTTAGCTTCGGCAATAGCAAAACAAATTCGACATATAGCCCTGGCAGATACATATCTAGCCAACAGCACACAGAAGCTAACGTCAGTCATAAACAAAGATAGCCGACCGTTTACCGCAGACCGTCGCGATGCACAGCTGACGCAACAGCGGAAAAATATGAAAACTGCCCAATTACTATTACTCAATTTATGGCACTATCAACTATGCGCTTTATATCACGAGCTCGTGACTTCTCGACGAGCCAGACCAGCAAAATAGAGCTATCTGATGTACCTTCCGCGCCTGGAGTTGTCCTGTTGTGACTGTGAGCACTTTTGCCGGCACGTCACTGTCTATCCAATGTTATGTCATTCGACCGTTGTTTGTCTGTAGGGTCGCCGACCATTCGATTGGAGACCAATTCACAGGGCAGACACATGAAGACGGCCTGCGGATAGTGGTAATATCTGTTTTATCAGAACAGACAGGCATCTGTTGGTTCGATTCGGATTTTTTTTATATCTTCATCAAGATAAGGACGCGTACATGCCGTTCGCACCAGGATTAGCAAAGCTTTGTAATATTGTCAACGTTTGTCTATACAGATGCTGCTGGTTGTCGTGAAAAATTTGCCAGTAATATATATCTATGTTAGGTATGCGTCTACACTTGAACATCACGTATTCACTGAAGGTCGTCATTTTTTTCGCTATTGTATTATCAAACAGTACAAGATGGTTGATATATTAGGGAATAAATGGGCATTTATTTAATTACGTGTCTTCATACAAAACAGCAACAATGCCATGCGCCAAGTCCAAGTGTTGTCTATTAAACGGTTCAGTGCTGAACGAATTGGTTTGACCTTCAGTTTGCCGCATTATCACTTATTGAATTCTAAATTAATAAAATATATTAATAAAAATAATTTATGGTCAGAATTCTTGCGAGACCGGAAAGGCTAATGCTGTCAATATATCGTCATATAAACAATCCATTACCGCTCAGTAAGCTATGGGACTGCTTAATCTCTATCTGTATTTTTGTCTCTACTCACAATTTACACAATAAACATGGCTAAATTACGTTTTCGCCCGTCGCCATCGAACAGAATCAAATAGGTCACCTATCAGGCGCGCGCTTGTCACCTTTTGTTTAGGAACATACGTTTGTATTTTGCTCACACCATCAGCATAAACACATCGCCCAAGTACAAGTCAAAGACAGGTCTGAGAATTAGTTTAACAACAGCTGCCATCGTTCGGTCTGCCAACACAAGGGCACTCAACGGGCAGCAGTACTACTAGCGAAAGTCCGACGTAGACAACACCAACAGCATCAAATATACGCCAAATTCGCAGCTGGTCTATTTTTGTCTTCTTGCAGATAAGTCAGCGTTCCCATCGTTAGTTTGCGTTTATTTGCATCTATCTGTTCGTATATCAATACCCGTTGGGCCATCCGCATCGAATCCCACTAGCAAACCCAAGCTTAGCGCTCTCAGATCGAATGAACGCATTAATTGTTAAGAAAACTGACAAAAGACGCTAGATACACTAGCGGTGCAGGCATATGCCTAGGATATTAGACGTTGCAGAAAGGGCGGCAGGAGGAGGTTGGATTTCAGTAACAGCAGTTTGCCGGTGCTTAAATCGAATAGTCACAGCGTCGCTCTATGGCTTCAATGTATGTAGCAGCAGAGGCCTCTGCAGATGCTGTTATCTGGCCACAGCAACTGCTTTTGCTTGCCAAAAGAAGAGCCATTTGTTCTAAGCGAACGCGCACCTCGACAACATCTACAACAACAGCACCAGTTAGAACAGCAAAAAGGCGGGAGTAGATCCAGCGTTCGACGTTCACCATCAACTTCATCAAGACGTTAATGGGGCTGCTACCGCTGCCTGGAGCTTCGTTCATTTGGAACACGACTGGGACGCATCATGCCGCCAATCATACGACGACAACAGATCGCCATCGAACACTTTCAGCGGTTGCCAGGTCTGCAATCGGCCGTCTTGTTGATGCTGTTGGTGGGCTGGCAATGACAGATTCAAGTGGGAAGGGTGGCTGCGTAGTGGTAAAAAACAGCATGGAGCTATTGCGTCACAATGTGCGCGCATTTCACAATGTCACTGGATGGATCTGCGTGTGTGTCTGTCTGTCGGCCTGCCTCCCTCCCTCTCTGTCTATATGTGTGTACGTACTTGTGCACGCTGTCTGCCAGGTCCAGGCAGGGCACTGGACGAAAAACTGTCCCCGCGAAAGGCCACCACCATTACTGCACCGTCAAAAACGGCTGTTTTTCTAAATTCTGCGGTAGCGACGCCGGCGATACGGACAGTCACTGTAGCAACTAAATCGTCCCCGTCACATTTTCACTTTGGCCCGTTTCATTCGATTCTATAGGGGGGGGAGGGGGTTCGAGTCGACCAGGCGAATGATTGCAAATGCGCCAGCATTTTTATGTTATACACTGGTACTGTTTCAATGAAATATATACACACTTGGACAGAGGATCGATCGGAGGTATCGCACTGTAGATAGAATAAAAAAAGTATTGATTGCTATAAGAAAACAACGACACGAACACGTCCGTAGTAGAGTGGATAGTACCCTTCATATTGAACAACACAATTTAGACACACAATTGATGTTGAATTAATCATTCGAACGTTCTTGGACTGCTGGAAACGGTTCAAAACAGTTACAAATCGTATCCTTCAGCCGACGTAGCGGCGGCGACGTTGTCGTCTTATTTTCTCAGATTTCTTTGTTCATTCGAGGAAAAGCTAACTGTGATTGCGTGAAAAACATACACATTTACATTGCAGATAACGCACTATCACGCCAATATGCTGCTAGTCATGAGGACGTATTGTTCCGCGGAAATGTAATATAAAATTAGCACTTCATTGAGGAAATATCCTAAGCGGTAAGGACCGCACTTACAAATTCGTTGAATGCCAAATGTTGGGCACTAACTTATTTTGTAGATGAAGTTCATCAAGAGGCTCATTTGTTATGTATAGATAAACTATTTATTAACTCCGACGGTAGATTGTGGATGTAATATTGGCGACAAGGGGAAATTCACACAGAAATTCTCGATTGACAGTAACATTTATTTGCTTTGCGTATTGACCCGGTGCGTCTATGACCTTCGATAGATGGTTAAAGAAAAAAGATGTTTTAGGTCATATTTAGCTTGAAGAATATTTTCTATTATTATGTTTACGAGTACGTTTGTGCAGCATTCATAAAAAAAATAAGATACACGTTTCCGATGTGTGCCTAAAATCTATCGTCTTAAAGGATAAAAGACAAGCGCGCTGTGAGGCAAATGTCGCCTTGATAGGTAGACATTCTGTTATTACGTGAATATAGCAGATAGATAGCAAACACGACCAGGGATGTTTAGGTGTGATCGTAGGATGCTGACATTTGAAGGTGTACCGGGTTTTTTTTAAATAACGCATGCATGTCTTTTCCTTCCTAAGGTAACAACTACAAGTAGACAAAAACAGCCGACCTATTCAAGTAGTCAAGGGAAAAAAAGTAATAATCTGATGGAAAACATTTACCTTATATAAATTTACTCATTTCACTTATGTCTGTTGCGACCATCTCTTCAGTGTTAGCATTTGTTAATAAAAAGTCACTGCGTAGTCGCAACGAAAACTCGCAGATGTTCAAGATCGGCCGAAAGAAGAGCGCTCAGATGGCTGTTACCTAGATAGCTCTGAAGCTTAACTAATTTTCCCCGTTTCTTGCACAGTCACTCTAACTACTACGAATCCGCTCATTCTGATATGCGTCTTTTCGTTTCAGTGACAGTTATATATCCTGTGCTTGAAGATAAACGGCATTGGTTTTTATTTGGCCCAGAATAAATGTGAACGTTTGCCGAGCAGCGTCTGCAGTTTTCAGCTTAGAATTGGTCAACGTATTCGCAGTTTGCAAATGTGCACAGATGCTCGGTATTTTAAAAAGTATTCTGTGTGTGTGTGTTAGTGTTTGGATAATATGAAGCAAATTAAGTAAGCCGCATTTAAATAGGGAAGGCTAATGAAAAGGCCGAACACGGTACATATTGGCTTATTGATCATCTTAAGTAGCTCTGGCGCAATCATCAAATGATTTTCGATAGAGACAGCATAAAGCCAATGTAGGAACATTTCTGTTATATGTAAATTGACAGTAGCCGCTATCCATCCTTTGCCGATATCATGCAAACAAGCAGTTCATTACAGGTGGAGGCCTGAAAAAGGTCGCCACAGGCGCGCAATATTTCGTTCGTGGACTCTTTTTTCTGTTGTTTTAGCATACCTGAAATGGAGGCAACAATTTATACATACATATAATTAAAGCCTTTGTACCAATTTGCTTTCGTGTACTCGAACGAAGTTTCACTTTTAGCGAGTTTTTACATCAAGAGTTTAGGCATTCAATATGAAACGCTTCTACGCTTCTATGGTATTAACCATTGCTTATAGTTATACAAAAACGTGTTGGTATGATTAAGTATTCAACGTTACCAGAAAATACGTCAGCAGAATACGTCGCGTTTTCGATGATGGGCCAAAAAACGTTGTCGCTTCAGCGGCTAGACGAAGTCGGGCTGGAGCCGGAAATATCACGTCAACAGACACATATAGTTATCATTACAATATAAATAGTTTGTTCTGCAAGTCCAAATATGGATACTGCCATCGAGTTGATCGTCGCACATACTCTAGGCCACCAGCATAGTAAAGGTTTTACTATGATTATTACTATTAGGTACGCCAGCACAACGCCGAAGCAAGATACAAGCGTCTCGTTTGTATTTCTAATATGTCGAAAATTAAGTTACTACGCGTCGTCTTCTGCGCAAAGGCAACTTGAGCAACACCGTAAGCTACCAGTCAGCCGTGACGGAGAATACCAGCGCATCGTAATTCATAGAAACTGACGTTGAACTATCAAATTGGCAAGCTACTTCTAATAGTTACGCTATTACCCCACCGACATCCATATATATATAGGCAAGTATAAACAATACGTACAAAAACTGATACGTAAGTGTATTTTGGATCGAAAACTACCAAGGACCTTGTGTAACATGAAAATGTCAAGCTGACTTTGCTTATAAAAGCGCTTTAACTTCTTTATTTGCTTAGAATCTACTCAATCTGCATAATTAGGTATGACAAAAAAACACTCCACTATTCAAGCCTACAGCAACGACCTGGGAAAGGTTTCCGAACTGGTCTTGCAAATTCGTGCTTAGGGTTTTGGTAACAATGTGACCTCCCGACTTACAATGTATTCACAATATTAGCTCATATGACCATTTGAGCGTGAGTTCGGCCGCTATTTCTGAAAGCTAAAAATAAAATTAAAATCAAAATTGTAGTGCGTGTTGACTATATAACAGATGTGATAAAGTAATTGTGATTCGGTAAAAGTTACTGTTAAGGTGATACTTTTATCTTCTAGATTAGTTGTCCAGTGACAGCGTTTCACAGATGGAACGCCGATGCCGGACCTGCTCAATCACCTTGTATTCGATATTTTTTAATAATCGTATAGCATAAACGTAGGACGTACATACCACGATCCTAATGTAGAGGCTTATACGAAACTGTGTGACTGTTAATGATATCGTTGCGACAAAGGATCTTTTGAACGTGCCCTTTACTCGAATTCCTCCAAACACTCGGCAGGTTCAATACGCATCCTTTATTCGATATTGTAATAACTATACTACTACCAGTTAGAGAAAAGCTGTTCTCCAATAATTCATATGCCATGTAAGCATGATCTTTTAGACCCGATGATTTAAGCTTGGTTTAATACCATGGATTGTCTAGGGCATTAGGCGCATAGAGACACGAAATTACTGGTAAAAGTATATCAGTATCATGCTTTTATTTAGAGAATGGCCAGATCTAAAGCGGTGAAGCAGTGCTACGATATTTCAATCGCCGAAGCATTGGTCCAATCATATAACCCTTCCCTTCGTGCATGACAGATTAAATCGTTACTCTTAAACTCGTTTGGAAATCAGTGGATATCACTAACAAAGCTAGCTCGAGAACGAAGATAAGGTCTTCATTCATGCCACCCTTGGATGGAAACGTCCAGGAACGGTCCGGCTGCCTGTTCAACCAATAAATTGCCTTCAATGTAATTTCAGGTTGTGTTAGGCTTCTGCTTGGAACGCGTCGGATAAGTGCTAATTTTTTCCCTGTCTAACACTGGTAATCCGTCCCTAGTTGCGGTGCCTTGTGTCTTTCGCTTCGCGCACCCTTTTGCCTTTGCACAATTGGGAATTGAACGGTTATGACAGGCAGAACAGGATGGAAAGGATGTCGAGCGCTCTGATGACAGTTTAACCTTTTCCCAATAACCGGCCGCTGCGCGCATAATCAAGGTGCTAGCTATTGCCGTGCAGATCCTAGGAACTGGCCACGAACAGCATGTGAATAGCATAACAGCTAAGCTATGGGCTATGCTTTCGCCAGCTTTTCTCTCTTCTGCGAAAATCCGTCATTCCTTCCTACCTTATATGTACGCCCGTTTGCATTTATTCTCATCGTAGCTGTCCTGACTGGTTCGGATTAGATCAGGCCGTGGTGTGCCCCAGGCCCGGTGGTCTACATCGGATTTCCAGGCCACGAGGACGTGAATGCTGCACTCGAATAACGAACAAGCGCGATAACATACACAGGCATATGGATACAGAATGTTTCGAAATTGAAGGTCAATTCTTAATGGAGTAATAGTACTCATTATATAAAATAACTCTTTTCTCAATGAGCCCGTAGCTAGTACCACATAGGTCAACATGTAACTATAAGGGAAAAAATTACTGATTTGATTTAAAAAGCGAAAATACCCGTGACTACAAGGGCAGCTGGTCCAGCACACAGATCAGATATTAACTTTAATTCATCACGCTTTATCGCTAAGATTTGCAAATTTTCTACTATGGCAGAAGGCGCGATTTAAAAGTCAATGAGCCTAGCGATTCAAGCTTCGATTGTAGAGGGCTATAAGCTTATTTTTCGACATATTTTTCGGCTGCCTTGACAGAGTAGCTAATTTTACAACTAACTTACTTGTTGGCATTACAACAGATACTGGAAATAGCTACCACTTACTATAATATATGCATGTTGCCGGCGAAAAAAAAATTGTGCATGTTTTGAAAGATCGAATATTTCCGAGACCACTCACAATTGTATATGGTGGAACTTACGAGGCAAGCTGAGTTAGCACTTCCCGATGTTGCTGCGCATTTCTATTTCAACTCCAATAAGTTAGAGTGAACCCTCGCTCAGTCACTGTGACCGCCCGAGTTGGCAAGTTTTGGTTTTCATTTTCTAAGGAAAAGATACAAAATTTCTAACCAATTTCATTCAAAAGTGATTTGACCTCTGAATGGAGGAGTGATCAACGAAGCTACTCTATATATAGATTTATTGGGTTTCAAAGGGTATCTTAAATGGTTAAAAGTTTGATTACTGAATTGTGCAAAGGACTATTCTCAAATTTTCAAACGCCTCGTATTTATTCCAGCATAGAAAGGCATTATTAGGTAAGCTAGTGTGCACAGAGCAGCAGCAGCAGCAGCAGCAGCAGCGCTCTGTCTTGAAGCCTGGGACTTCAAGATAGAGTGAAGGGACACCAACAAGGACTTCGAAGACAATTTCATGCAGACAGTACTCGTATGGTTATTCATCGGCCATTTGAGCTGAATCACATTCTGTGATTATCTGTGACGCTCATAAATCAACTCTATAGGTAAGTAAGCCGACAACTTAGCAGACTAGTTTAAAACATAGATGTAAGAGGGACCAGCAAACGTTTTTATTGGAAAAATAGAACTTCGCTACCATACCTAAGTTAACTTTATCTGTATATAATTTCTGATTGCAACTTTCAGAACGCTGCGTGTGCTTATCCAACTATAAACAAATAACTAATAACGTTTTTTTTTTTTATTATTTACAGACAAGTGACGCGATACGAAATACCTAGAACTAATTTTCGGTTTCTTAGCTAAATACTAAGTTCCACTGTAACACATTTGATCATCAGGCAGTTAACGTCGCCGACGCAATGCATGCGTTATACCATCATTCTTTTAGATCTGCACTAATTGACAACTTTCTCGTCTTCACGCTTAGACAATGCTTCTACATTAGGAGGTATCTATACGGGTACTGGCGACGCGGCTAAGTTAAAGGTCTTTACTTAGTTCTGTTAAGTGATTAAGGTCAAAATATCACTTTTGCTAAATTTTCGTGTTTGTTTACCCTGCTTACTAAATGTGTATTTATAAGTTTAGAACGCATAGGTCAAAGCGGCTATGAGCACTGCTTGACTCGCTAGAATTCTAGATCGCTCTCAATATACAGTAAGTGAAGACAAACGAAAGAGACGAACCATTATGTCTATGGAATAGTCTAGCTAACAAGACTTAACGAAGCGTAGCGGCCGGTGAACGGGTAGACATTCGTTTCATCGTACATGTGCTTCAGCACCGCTTTTGTAACAATATTGGATTTTTGTCCATAGTGGAATAATGTCAGCCTACAACCAATTCGGTTTTACATGTATCCGGACAAGAAAGAACCAGCCTGAGCGGGCATCAACAATTTGCACGAAAGCGAACAAGATTAAACATACAAGTTACTCAAAATATAGTTGCAGTACTTATCTGCGTTACGACTGCTTTTATAATTGCTTGCTGCCTAGTTGGCGCTACTATTGAGTTGTTACATTAAGGGTTTCTATGCGCGAGTTTGTATCTGAATAGAGTGCATCTATCGACTATTTCTAGCGTTGCAGACACGTGCTGTATGAATTTTACGTGAGAAGAAACTATTTGTGGATAAAGGTCTAAAGTAAGCTGAAAAATCAATTTATTTTTGTACGTTTGTAATTTATATATATATATATGTATATATATATATATACAACATTATCGCAATATAACGGCAAAATTTACGCTTGTCCGACTTATTTGGTCGAAAGCTAGAATTAGAAAATACCTAATATTTTCTATCTTTTTTAGTACGAATCACGTAATGGTCGTACAAGATATAGTCACCTGAGTAGTCAATGGCTACTTTGGTAGTCGCGGCTACGTTGCTGGTGTTTTTAATACTCTAATAAGCGAAACATTATACACATTCAACGGAGACAAAGCCTGAAGCTGTGTGATCGAATTGACAGCGATGCGCCGCTTCAGGAAAAGGAAACAAACATTTTGTCGCCGCCAGCATCGAACAGGATAATCTTGCAGGACAATACAACTGTTCAGGTGTTGCTCTTGACATATAGTATCCACGCATTGTTTAGACATATCTGCTTCATTAATCTTTCCTAGAGGGTCGATGTTAGAATTGAGGTACACGGTCAATATTTCTCGCGTTGTTGTCGTGCTGCATAATCCCAGTGCTGATAAATCATGTCGAGCAGATTCAAATAGCCCAGTTTCGCTTATGCATAAACGTATTCGTAGACAACGCCTCACAAATATTTGCTTGTTACATCAATAAAACCATATATACATAGATATCACCCAATTATACGTTTCTCAAAACCCAATAGCATTACAAACTGCTGGCGTAGAAAGCTATTAGAACTTCCTCTGAAGATTTTGTTTCATAAAGGACAACCATCTCGTTAAATAATGCTTTATTTCCAGGTTGCTGTGTTACTTGCGGCGGCAACACTGAACGCAAGACATAGCACTCTATACGATATAGCCTTACAAACGTAAGGCTATGGCAGGTGAGACAGTTTGAGTAAAAAAGCGGCTTCGATAGTCGTGGTACGAGCTGTTTCCAGCAGGCGACGTTTATCACGTCCGTTCCTTAAAGAGTTTTCCTCGAGCACCGCTGTGTTGAAGCTGTCAGAATGACACAACAAGTGCCTGCGTGAAACCTTAAGGCCGTTTACCCTAATCGCCTCTTGGAAAGTTTACTGTGCAACTCGCAATATTCGCAGAGGACTAGAAACTCTGTTGTCGATCGAGAATGCAAACAGGATTACTTTTAGGCAACTGTTGCTACACGGATATATGCAAAACAGCTTCTATTCAACAAGCAATGCTAGGTGTAAGAGAACACACAGATTAATGCGGAAATAGCATTGTTCCTGCTAACATTTTTTCGAATAATATTCAATATATAATAATTGAGAGTATCCCACACTGCTGATAGAGATACAGATACTAAACCTTCAAGCCGGTACGCTTAAGGCTTGAAACCCCAGAATCATGAAAGTCAACCAAAGCTTCTACGTTAGAGATTCAGCTTGCTTGTGGGTTATTCCGAAATTATAAATTTTGCAGTAAATTTACTATTCTATCTAATTGAACAACGCATGGCCGTTTCGTATAAGGAGAATGAGACGCCAGCTGGATAATGAACATATATAATACGACACTTGAATGATTGCACGTCGTATTTGGATGGTAAAATTACAAAATAAAAATTGACAAAAAAAAAATGATGAACCCAATCGTCGAACCAATCGTCATATCGACGTCTGTTTGCTAATAATGTGCTTCCTCTAATCGGCCCCGTGTATCCTTATTACTAACTGTTGTTTTTATTTCGTTTTTACGGATGGACGGCACATTTGGCTATTATCAGCACCTGCGCGCAAGAATCTACCGCCGACATTCTAGACCGGTCCGTGTTTTATTCGTTAGATCCTGGTCCGCTATATTTGCTTTCAGGTTGGTGACGTCCAATTCTCAAGCGACAGAGCGATTAGTTTGTTACAGTAAAATTATTTCGTTATAGTTTTAAGTAACAATACCATTTAGAAGGTAGTTTGAACGAACTCTGGCTATAAGCTATATCTAAAGTTCGCTTGCGTGGGAGTTTTGGCTGGATATACATACCCGCCATTGACGCCCTTATGTTGTTTGACCTATTTCGTTCGAACTAATTGACCACTAATGCTCTATTGAGTTTTCGAGATTTGATCGTGATACTTTCCGTGGAAATATATAGTTCCGTAAAGGGGAGAAGGGAACTGAAGCGGAACACAATAATCGTGGCTGTAATTTTTTTCACGCAGCTGCTTTTCGACGCTTCGATCCTGCCGATATTCGTATAATTTGTCTGGCGTTATCATATTTTTTCAATATCCGCTCAAGTTGGATGACTTTTTGCTCTGCCCCTTCAGAAGTTAAAACAAGTATTCCAAGTGGTAATGTGTAGGACAAACACTTGATAAAAATCGATAACCTATATTCTACGAGTCCCAATTACCCGAACGTTATAATTGTCCTTTCATTAAGGTCCTGTAACTGAAGAAATTATCAGAAACTTTTGTTTGTTCCACCTTGAGGCAAGAAATATATATATTACAAGTAGTAATTATCCGACGTTTCTCAATTAGAAGTTTGTAAGAGTTGCCTGTTTTGAGCAACTTCTTGTCGTCATCCATCTTTCTTACTTACGTTTACAGTTGGCCCTCGTACGCTTTATCCTCCGGTAACCGCCGAATAGAATGCAATTGTTTCACGCAACTGCCGTTGTACATGAAAATACATGTCAAAACAATCATCCTTCATACGCGCCACAGGGTCTTACTTCAACATAGAAATATGGATAAAAAGTTTTCTTCCTAAAGAAATTATTACCAGAGAAATAAAACTCTTGTGTAGGTAATTAAATAATTCCTTAAATCGTTATTGGCTCTGCAACGCTTCTGTACAAATTTCGTCCCTTAGCTGGCTATACAGAGTTTCGAACAAAAGCAAATAGTCTATGGCATGAGTATTGTTGAGCTTCACATCCTTAGGTATAGCGACAGCTAAGGATAAACGTTTTGCCACGTTTTATCACTTACTACTACCGCTCCGTTACGCCTTACTAAAATAGATAGTTGACAGTTATGAACCTCTCGTTTTAAGGCATATTAGCAAATGACTTATCTAGTCGACGCAATTACAGAACTAGATTTTACTGAACTCGATATTCGAATCATACTTTCGCAACAAATAAATAAAGCTATTTACTGCTATAAGCTGCACGAAATCCGGTGCCTAGTAAATGATCTTTTCTAGTTTCGTTCTGTCTTGTTTTCTCTGTAGTCGTTAGCAGCTTAGCCCCACGCTCGCGAACGATGCTTCACCTTAGCCAGGACTGTGCTATTAAACTTTCGTAGCACGTGACTACAGACCTTCTCGCACAAAAATTCCTGCAACCGCATTTTAAAAACCTTACCGGGAACAAAATGTGCTTGACAAACCAACGTACACCCGTATACGTTCATAAAGGCACGCGCAAGCACGCCTGCCTTTGGTATCACTACCGCTTCTACCGCCATAACCTTAATAGCCGTACGTCAATGCTTGGCGATTATCACCGGCAATGGTCCCAGTAGCAATGGCCATCGACATGCGGTATCTTGCTTGATACCAAGCGAGTACGTTGCGACACAATGACCTGCAGCTCAGCAGAGACCGGCGTTGCGCGCGAAAGCAAGAACGATTAGCGTATCGATCTCGACGGACGCACAACCTAAGGCTGCTACTACATCTAACAACGGCGATCGCGGTCTTTCCGCTTGCGTCGCGACCGTCATTGTCGTTGTGTTTGCCTAAGCAGAAATCAGTGAGAGACGACGCCACAATCAACTGTCATACAATTTATGCAGACAGTTTCTCCATTGGCTGCGACGTCCTGGTTGAGGCCAGCAACGGTGCCTGGAACAGCGCAGCTACAGCAGCGAAGATGGTCAAAAAAATTGATCGCAGTTTGTTCCATTTTAGTTCACAGATATAAAGCAACTAAGGGTAATTTGCCCACCTAATACATGCCAGTATGTCCTATAGCATTATGCAAAGTGCTACTTTTTTAGTAGACGGACATAGATGCCATATCAACAGTTTTACGGGCGAAACGTAACGCGTTGGTGAGAGAAACAACTAGAGTATTAGGTCTCGCTCGGCAAATATCAACTTTCGCATGGGCATGTGCAGGTATCTATAGAATCACAAAGAGGAATCTATACGATCATCTGTGATAGACCCGACGCGATCTCACAGTAGCACCAAGCCAGGTAAGCGACATATAAGCGTAAAACGATAATGTGGTAGAAGACGGAGTCTTATAATTATAGTATATTATCATGCGATTGTACTAGATGCTGCCGCTTAATACTACCTCAATCTGTGCTTGTAGTATGCTGCCTCAGATGAATCCAAAGATGCGGTAATTCTCTAGACATAAAACAAGAGCAATTATTTTATCGATATAATCAATCGCGCAGATATCAAGTTGAGAGCGGCATTGTCGCCATTGAAATTCTTGTTCAGTTTACACAAAGGCAAAAACTATATGTAGTTACTGAATTTAGGCAGTCGTTGACCTCGCAAACCTAAACTCGAAAATACGCTTGGAGCATTATTGTTATGCCTTTACGGTGCTACTTTACGGTGAGCATAAAGATATGTTCACTTCAGCAGAAATCATACGTTAGAAAAACTCATGAGGCCCTAGTTTAACCAGTTAAATATATGTATGTTTCTGGTTTTACATCCGGTATCGCCGTTAAACACACCATCAGATTGGAGTGCTTATTTGAAGATACCTTGGTGCAATTGATGATGCTTTGTAATCTTCGGACAAATACGTCAAGAGAAGCCACAACTATCAACAATGAATCACTTAATTGGGTTCAGCCATGTCCACGCGGAAAGCAAACTGGTCCTTTTTGTCGCGATCGGGTCCTTATCGCTTGCTTGGCCTTTGTTTTTAGGCTCTGGACCTTTTTGCGTCGCGAACAGGAAGGTCGACAAAGCAGCGCAGTCAGCCAGCCTAGATAAGTGCAACATTGTCTATCTCGTTTTGGTTTACCAGTGATAACATACCGACAAAAAGCTCACAACAGCCCGATGGGGAGGCCAAACGCTAACTTGTATTAGTGACACCGTTCGCTAGCCGAGTACACTCAGGGGCAGCAAGCGCATAGTGGTAGATGAGTGTCGCATGAAGTCAGTCACATAGCCGTTCGTGTCGACGACAGCGTCGAGCGTGTCCGCGCCACGCTTTGCAAACTTACATCACTTTCGGTATAGGACCAAGCTAAATAGATGCAGGATGAACTGAAACTTCTCCTGCGGGACAGGTGCAGTGCTTGCAGGATCAACAACGAGCATAAAAGTAGATATTAGCCTAAAACGCGTTGCATGAATGGCTAAAATATCTAGATCGCTTTATCTAGTACAAAATTATTGCGATTAATAGAATAAACTGAATTAGTTTTTTTTAAGCTGAATATGAACTGACTGACAGTGGTCTTTGCTTGCATTACCATGCACTCAATAGAACTGGAGAAAGTATGTTAACTGAAACATTCCTTACAGACTATTACCTGAAGATCGGTGAGCCAATTTTTACGTGCATATTTATAGACATGTATGCAGATAGGTATGCATATATCCGTATGAGTAAATCTAGAATTGCATGATTACACGATCTGAATTGAAAGTAAATAAAGTAGTAGCTGCGCCATCCCTTAAATCAGCACTTGTAATCAACGGCAATAGCCATTAAACAAGCACACTAGGGGGAAAGCATTAGAATAGTGTCTAAAACAAGCCGACAAATGTATTCTAGTGCAGCTAAATCAATAGGTAGTCCTCGTAAGATGTCTTCTGTTGAAACAATCATGTTCCGGCCCAAATTCTAACTGATTGTCCCGAGTCGCGGGAAAATAAGGTAAATCTGACGCGAAACCAATGTCGTTTAATCACACTTGCAGTAAAAGTATATAATGAAAAAAAATTTCTGATAATTGGTTACCTACCCATAGTCTTAGAGATGCCTATAGAGAAAGAGAGATATGATCAGTCAACCGCGGGTACAAAGAACAGGTGAAAATCCATAGCAATTATATTTAACTATACAGCGAGTGTACTTAGGAAACGGTATAAGATCTATAGATGCGCGATCTTAAATGTCCTGTATATCGAAAGAGATATTTGTCGAGTATTGATACCAGAAAAACGTACCCGAGACCATTGAATTACCAATAGGCAAGGAAAGCACACTCAGATCTCTCAAACCAAGTTTTTACGTTTATTTATTGAATTGACTCTATCGCATAGTATTTCATTTGTGAGATTTGAACCAGTGACTTCCAACAGATTTTAATGGGTTTAATAAAATTACGTAAGACGCAATTCTCACTACATTTGCTCCACCTGCCCTGCTCCATTAGACGAGGTAGCTATAAAACAACCTATATATATAAATATTCCAAGCTGGTTCGATTTAAAAACCTCTGATGTCTAGTCTACGCTACGGCATATGTTTACCATGAGCGAGTAACTGCAACAGAATGGAATTGTCCCGAAGCGTTCTGTTGATGAAGCGGTAGTGCTGCTTGTACGACCGCACGCCAGCAAAGGGCGTTGCGGTCGTCGCATACAAACGCTGAGTAAACAATTTCTCGGAGAATGGTCAGAAACCTGGACAGTCTCTGATTGATTAAGCGTTAAAATCACGGTAGCGTTGGCACAGCTAGACCATGTACTTTTATATTTTGGCCCCTTACAACACTTAAAAGGCAACATGCACAAAATAATGAGTCATTACTAATAAGAATAATATTTGGTAATAATGGGTCTGTTGCTGGATGATTGCAACAAAATATAAGGCTTTTTTGCGTTGCATGAAAAAATTCATAGAGCTCTCGAGGTTCTTTAGTCCGCTAAAAAAAGCAGATGAAACAAACCAGCAGACTACAGCAACATAAATTAATTCGTAAGTTAACATAGTGTCGTGATATTGGTACTAAGAGGCCTTAATCCGTCTAACTTAAATAAAATGGTATAGCTTCTGCAAAGTACATATAAATGGAAAAGCGATCATACTGCTTGGGTCCTATGCTTTTGTACTGGGACTTGGAAGCATGCATACATTGTGGATAACTCCCCAAAGATGAGAATTGGTTTATCACTCTCTCATTTCCTGCTAAATCCAATACTCATAGAGCATTAATTAGAACCACTCGCTCGAACTTTGTTATCCAGAAGGTTAACCGCAATCGATAATATAAACCAGACATGTTTTTTTCATGTTTAAATTAGCCACGATATCTTGCAAACAAAAATCGCTTATCAAAATTATCTATCGGCTGACAATGAAAAACAATGAACCAACTGTTCTATAAGTCAATTCGTAACGAACACAGCGGGAAATATCAAGCGTAAGAACCTCCATTAGTGAGTCATACTAAGGAAGACGTTACGAAGTAAACAAAACAGCAATTTCATCAAAAAAAAAATATTCCTAAAATTGCTGCACGTGTGACTCGATTTAGAGGTACATTGTTTTTACCATACTGGCGTTCATATACAAGATGAATGATAAATGACGAATAGGGTGTTGCGTTCTCTGTCGGATTAGCTCTAGGAAAAA